CCATCATTTACTTGGGTAATTATTAGATCCCTAGTCCATGAATCCTTGACTGTATGCAGAAATTTTTATCTTTGTATGATAAGCTGGGATAGAAGCAAGTCTTTTCCCATATATGCATACTCTTTGTGTATTGCTCCACACAACCTGGAAAACAAAAAAGGAGATTTTCAATTAACTATTTTCATTTTGTTTGAACCTGGAAACTATGGTTAAACATTTTGGAACAAGCTACTGACTGGGCTCAGGCATAATAACAGGCCATGGTAGAAACCATGATGGCATGGTTTGTTGTATTGTCTGAACCCAGAAAGCATGGTAAGAATGGTTTCCATGGAATCATGCAGAGAACTAACAGTCTGTTCTGTGGTTTCCTCAGGATGAGATATGTTGGCAACATACAGGTATGTGAGGGGATGTCACATGGAGATGGGTAGAGACCTGTTCTGCCCTGCAGAGGAAGGCAGGACATGCTCCAACGGAGCAAAGCTCAGGGAGCCAAGGTTCCATTTGGATGCCAGGAAGCGCTTCCTGACAGTCAGGACCCCGAGGGTGTGGAATGGACTTCCACAAGAGGTTGTTGAGGCCCCATTGGTGTGGGTGTTCAAGGATAGGCTGGACGTGCACATGGTGGGCATGTTGTGAGCGGAGCCGGCTGGTGCCGGAGGTCAGACTAGATGGCCCAGGAGGCCCCTTCTGACTCTCTATGTTTCTATGTTTCTATGAATGTCTATCAAAATTTGAACTGCATGTCAGTTCTGCTACTGAATATGCAGAATGAGTTTTGGATTTTGTGGAAATGAGTCAAATGGCTAGCATATTTTGCAGAATGTATCTGCTGTTCTTCCAAAAGCTGTGGAATATGGCCACCAGTACAATGAGTCTAAATGATGTAGCATCCGCTGTGGGAAGGACAATAGAGGAAAACTGGTGAGGAAATAATCAAAGGTGGCTCTAAAAGAGGAAAAACTTGCCTAGTACAAGAAAAATGTACACAAGGCTGGGCTAAATTCCTGAAGTGGTTAAGTACTGTTTCAGCTTGCTTAAATAGTGGGATTTCTAAAATGTGTGGTTTCTATGCACATTAACTGTATACTAAGGCATTTGTTTTCATGGTGAGAATGTTCATTCAAACTGTATTTTTGTACAGTTAGAATATGTATCAGTTTTGTACCACTAAGACTGCTTTGGAAGCTTGCCATTTGTCTGTCAGATCCTAGCTGAGATCTTCCAGAACTCTTACTCCTATCTTGCAATGTGTTGCATATGTATGAGTGCTTAATTGAATGTGTGCAGCAAATCCAGGTCAATAATGTACGTTGTATCATGATTATACCAGGCAATCTGACATGGCAACAGCACAGAGCATACCTCTCGTGCATATTCAGTTGAGCATGTTTTTTCTTCTGTGGGCTTTGGCAATGTTTGGTGGATTAAGCTCCCTAAAATTCCAGACGGGCTGAGTGTAGTGATATGTACCTTTCTTTGTCATGTTGTCAGTATTTCAGTTGTAGTACTTCAGCCTGGTCCGTTTGGTCTTTAGAAACTACAAGAGTCAGCTGTTGGTTCTGTGTTTTCCTCTGACCATCATGAATTCTCAAGTTGTCCAAACCGTGGTTTCCACGATCCTGGTATTCAATTACCAGAGTCCCTTGGCAAAAGCAGTCACTCTAAGAGACTTTTTGTTAACCTCTACTACCCATCTCCGCCTAGTAATAGATGAATTGCTGTTTGCCCCACACTTACAGGCTGCTCTTGGTTCCCATCCCCCTCTATCTTCTCTGCTGTCATCCAGATTTACACCTGTTGTTTTCTAGCTGCAGAGAAGTGTGTAGTGTTGCCCAATTGAGTAGCCTTAGAGTCATTTAGTCTCTGTACTGCTATATGGCTGCTGCAGTTTACACAGATGCCAGTCTAAGTCATTCTTGTTTTATTTTCATTCCAAAGTATTTGGATACTTGGATGCATGCCAGCATGGGGAAGAATGCTATAATGGGCTAGGGGGCAGTTAGATTTTAGGCACAGCCTTTGGACAGCACAGCTTGCACACCAGCAAAAGATTTTAGTAGGTATTCTTGAGATACTAACTGGTAATTTCTATATGAACATATATTTTAAATAAAGTAATGATCCTTATTATGCTACTGAAATAATTGTATGTTTTATTTATTTATTTATTTATTTATTTATTTATTTATTTAGCAAGCTTCTATGCCGCCCCATTCTCTGAAGCCTTGGGGTGGCTCACAACAATAAATAAATACACATTAACCATATAAAACAATATAATTGGAGACGTCCTGGCCAAAGATATAAAATCAATAAATAATGTTAATAATTAAAATGACGTTTAAATAAAAAGGTCTTGGCCTGGCACTGAAAAGCAAATAATGACGGTGCCAGGTGGATCTGTCTGGGGAGCGCATTCCATATTATAGAAGAGTCATTCCCCTTGGGAGGAATTGATTTCGGGTTGGGAAGATTTCTCTGTTAAAATAAGGACGGCAGTACATGTTGAGGCAGAATTTAGAGAATATTCCCATAACAGTGTGCAAGAAAAGTAGGCAGGGACCCAAACACCCAAGAAATTATGTATTTTCTGGCAATGGAGGTGGGCAGAAAACTGTCTTTCATGCTTTCCCAAAGGATTAGGAGCACACATACACAGTAAAAGAGAAAGAGAAAATGGCATGTGCAGAAAAGGTGGGGGAGATAGAAGGGCTGTGTGGCTAAAGATGTTTCAACATGGGGAAGAATTGCGGTGGGAAAAGGTGATTTCTGTGGAAAAATTAATTCATTAAAAGCAAAGTTTGAGGTACATAGTGGGACAGAGAACACTCGGTGGAACTGTGCAGATTGATTAGGATGAGGCAGATGACACAGATGGGTGAAGTTGACTTTGTTCAGATGGACTGTGAGCGCTGTTTACTTTTGGAACTTGGAACCAATTCCCAGTCTCAGAATTCTCTATCTTCAAGTGTTTGTCTTTTGCACTAGGTTCCAGTTGGAGAATCAGTTCAATACATCTGGAAGGGAGGGAGGCAGCTTGCAAAGTCTGCTTCAAATGCCTTCATTTTTTTTAACATGAAAAGCTTACATCTAAGAGGGCATAAGTCTACTCTAGACCTACTTACTCATTGTCAGTATACATTGCTCAGATTTTGACAATCTTTTCTAAATAGAGCAAAGCCCTTTCTACTTGTGTGAGAATGTTCAACAAATATTTGAGAATGATTTTAAAAATATTTTACCACCTTTATTTTATTTGTTTGTTTTTTAAAATAACAAATGAAGCCAGTGTGGAGGATTAGTACGGTGTTGGACCAAGACTCAGGAAACCTGGGTTCTAATTCCCCATCAGACATGAAGCTTACTTGGTGACTTTTGGCCATTACTGACTGTCAGCCTAAAATACTTACATGATTGTTATGTGGATAAATACATTAGAGGACTATGTTAAACCCCTTAGGTTTCTCACAAGAGGAAAAAAGGCAGTATATAAATGCAATGTAGCAATAACAGTAATTATGATATACACTGCCCACCAACAAATATTTTCTGTCCAGTGTCCATTTATGTCCAAGTAATATACATTTACATTACTCTGTCCAAGTAAACATTTTATGCTGAAAATAATACAGCATAAAAATAACATCCAGAACATTCATAAATAATCCAGAGAATAAAATAAAAAGTGGGTGACAAATAGAAAAATACCAACATATTTGAGACTGAAAAGCCTGGGAAAAATGTGTTCACCAAGTGCTAAAAAGAATGTAACACTTGTGCCAAACAATCCTTTTTGGAGAAGACATTTTGTAATTGGGTGCCAACACTGAAAATGCCCTTTAGACTGGTCTCAGAAACATCTTCCTTGTCGTTGTCAAAGCACTGCATAATATGATGATACCAGTTAATCTTTGCGAACAATTTTTCTACCCTAATTTGGACCATCTGAGTTTTCCAAAACCATTTTCAAGGCAACCTACATATAACACATTGCTGTAAAGCGAACAAGAGATTACCAGGGGATGAATAACTACACTGCCTCTATTCAGAAAGGTTGGTGGTAGCATTTTACCCTTAAAGCTGCCTCTTTGCTCTTCTGGGCAACCCACCGACTTCTGGAAGAAAATGGTCATTTAGGAGAAAGTTCCAAAAGTTCTGCAATACACAAAATGATAATTTATATAGTGAATCACCTTTTATGCAAAGTACTGGCAAAATCCAGTACATTTTGTTGAAATGGGTTTGAGCGTTAATTTCTTAATCATAGGTCTTTAGCAAAAAAGTAGCTAATGAAATCTAATCATGTAATCCAGTGCAAAATTATACCTGCCTCTCTGCTCCCTGGACAATTCAAATTAATGCATAATTAGGATGAAGACTGACACTCAGAACATGAGCAATACTTGGCATGCCAAAAGTCCAGGCCCTGCATCTCCTGCTGCTAATCAGAGTAGAACATACTGAGCTAGATGGATCAGTGGTCAGGCTCAGTATAAGACAGTTTCCTATGGTTAGCTATCAAAGCAGAAGTCTGCAATGTTAAAGAGGCCTGCAAAAAGTCATCTCACACATAACTAAAGGGGAAGTAAAGGAGGTGTGTGTGGCACACTGACAAACTCAACTAGACTGATCTTGTATCAACTAGTATCATGCAGTATTTCAGTGGTATTCGGGTCAAACATAAAGCAAGCGAATTCACAGAAATTCAGTCAGACCTTATAGCATCTTCTCTCCTTTGTGTTGATAACATTAGATACTCTGTTGGCAAGCTGATTAATACATTAACGAATAAAGAATAGCTTTATTGTAATAGCTTTCTGCTCATTTTAGACAGATTTACAAATACTTATGTAACTATTTAAAAAATAAATACACAGATGTACAATATAAACTTGTTTGGGTTTTTAAAATTGCATTTCTACATATGATGTTAACTAGTTAGTGTGTGGTTGTGCACAAGTATTAATATAACCAGACCATGCTTATATTTTTAGTTAAAACAGAGCCAATGAGCGGTAGTGAGATTGCTACTACAACAGCAGACGGTTCTTTAGACAGTTTCTCAGGATCAGGTAAGCATATTCACTATGACTAAATAAGATGTCCACATGAGTAATGTCTGAAACTCATATAGTTATTTTGTGGTTTAATTAACAAAAAGGTTTCTGAGTACATACAATTCCATATAGGTATTCTCCTTATTGGAAGCTTTTCCCATGTATCTGTTGTCAAAGTATTTTGTAATTTACAACACAATCCTCTTCATGGCTGCTCAGAAGTAATTTCTATTGAGTTCAATGGAATTTACTTTGAAATGAGTGTGAATAGGATTGTACACTAACTTTTGTCTTTTTCCGCACAATTGTTGAACATTATTTTCTGTAATTCTTAGTTGAAATATAAACCTACTTCTGCTTGCATTTGCTAAATGGTTTTAGTTCAGTCATAGTCCCTATCCACACTTTTGGAGGCATATGTAAGACAGAATCTACATCTGAAGGTGTATTTAAGAAAAGTGGGCTTCTTTGCTGAAGTAAAAGCCTTGCTTCTCCCTGGCTTCATAATTAAACTGAAAGAGGCAACCATTTATTTAAAAGATTCAGCATGTCATGTATATATGTATGTACATGCACTTGCTCTTAAAAAACAAGTGCAGAACTACTTTAGCTATTGTCACTAGATATTTTGTGTTGACTTGATGGCAAACAAGTGAAATTTTGATTTTAAGAGGTTGTTCCTGGAGAGGAAAGGAATGATTGACCAAAACACAGTGAGGGTGCCTTGAAAGTAGCTTTACTATCTAAAGACATCATGTCTGCATTTCACTTTACTGTCTGTCAGTTAGTTAACATTCTAGCTCAAAATTTCCAGCATTATATCCTCTGTGAGAGAATACTTTTAATTTCTTAATAATCTTCATGTCTTTCTACATCAAGGTGATAGAACATGTGATTTATATGAAGAGACACCCAAGTATTGGTTTTTATTGTATTATTGCATTTTACTCTTTACAGAATATGGCAGGAGTGTAAGGCACTCAGAGAAACTATGGCTACTCAGGTGGCATATAAAACAATCACATACATATATACATATGATCCCTGCAGGTGTAGCAGGGCTTGGAAAGACCCATCTGACTGAGCAAAGCCCCTGCCTGTCAGCGCAGATCACCAGCTAGAAATTTATGCCTTGCAAGCCAGATGTGGCCAATTTTATACCTGCTCTTTCACATCACACTGGCAATGCAGAAAGAACGTGATCTTCCTCTGCACCCACTTCTTCTTTGTTCTTCAGTTAAAACTCTGGGTTGTTTCTCCCTCTGGGGCCATCATGGAGAGTAACCCAGGGCACAGGAAGTTCAGTGAGTGCTTGAGAGCATGTTCATTTGCCTTGCCAAAGGTGTCCAAGAAATGTTTCAAATAACATAAAAGAAATAAAAGAGTCTGCTGTTAACAAACCGAGGATTGTATGTGTATTCAAACTGGATAGTCTTATTAAAGGAATAAGTCCTAAAATACTGAGGAACAATCATGTGTATCACTCCTCACCCATGTGTACCTAACTATATGTTTGATTGCATCTGTACTCTTCAGGGAAGGAAGAAAGGTTATTGGTTCCTTAATCAGATTCTGATTTAAATAGTGGCCTGCAAAAACACAGGCATTTTACATTTAAGAACTATTCGTAGAATATGTCATGCATTTGGGGGTGGGAGGCAAAATTGTGACAAAAAATGGACCTGGACATTAATTAAATAAAACAGAATATGGCTGGGGTGTAAAAAGGGTTTTACTGTTTGACATATGTTATGAATGGCCCTTTAAGGAGCAATTAAAAAGACCTAATTTGAAATGAAGATATTGGGAATTCTTGTGCTAGCCTGGATCTATTAAAGTATTACTTGACACTATTTTAATTTAATTAAATTTTGTTAAATGTCTAAAGTTCCCTTAACAAAAATAATATTTAGGTTAGATGTGAGCATGTGCATGTGTTTTTGCACTTACATGTGCTTTCTTTTCTCTTCCATACAGCAATTGGAAGCAGTGGCTTCAGCCCAAGACAAACTCACCCATTTCCCCCGCCACAGATATACCCTTCCAAGTAAGATGCCTGTTTCTTAAAAAAAAAATGAAATAAAAAAGGAGTAGAGTTAAACCTCATTTATAATTATAATTGAATCCATCTGCCAAATCATAACTGAAATCAGTTTACCCTTGAGAGAAGCTAGATTTTAAAATAAGTAACAAGTCTATTTAAACATTGAAAATTATTTAATTAATTAATTTGTTTTGCACCGTGGCCAATGGCTTTAAATTCTGTCATACAAATCAATCAAGATGTTTACAAGTTTCTATCTAATACAAATGTTTTCTTATTTATGTCACCTTGCAACAAATAGCAGACCATACCCACATATTCTTCCTACGCCTTCTTCACAAACTATGGCTACATATGGGCAGACGCAGTTTACCACAGGGATGCAACAAGCTACTGCTTATTCAACTTACCCACAGCCTGGTCAGCCCTATGGAATCCCATCATATGGTAAGTAGAGTTGGTGGAGCATGGGTTACAGTTGTTTTTTGGACTGTGAAGTTGCTTTTCTGCTGATTGTACTATTAAATATTGGCAGAGGACTGCATTTTAATAGTATTGGTTCAGCACATCTCAGGGATTTCCATGATAGGGCATAAAATTTTGAAAGAAGACAAGAGTCTGAAAAGTTATGCAGCATTGTTCCAAGCGTTGGAAAACTACTTCTGAGCAGTGGTTTATCTTTATGTTTTAAATGCCTACACATCATCTTTTTTATTATGTATGTGGGTAGGGCTTTTAGGTGCTTGATGTGCCATGACAAGATAGGTTGGATTTAGACTTTGTCCTACAGAAAGTTGACCTGTTGAAATTATTGTTGTGAGCCGCCCCGAGGCTTCGGCGAATGGGACGGCATAGAAGCTTCCTAAATAAATAAATAAATAAGTTAGTGGCATTTAAATCAGTCATTGCTAACTTAAATCTCAGTTAAATTTTAACTGCTAAGTTTGAGATTCAATTGTATAAGACTTATATAGAAAGACTAGTGCACTTTCACTAAACAGATAAACTAACTCACATTTAGTGTCTTTTTTGATAGAAAGGTAGGGTATAAACAAAATTAATTCAGAAAGGGTATAAATAACATTTAAATAACATTTAAACTGGCATGACATATGTTAATATAATGTTACAGTTGCTCCAAGCTTACATATTTATTTCTATTCTTGGAATTCACATTTTCTTCTTAGCAGTCCTATTTATTTATTTATTTCTAAGTTTTTTGCAAAATACAAAGAGCCGTGTTCAATTAAGCCAGTTAAAGTGATATGGTTTGATAGAAAGGTGAGGTACAAATCAAATATATAAGCATTCACATTCCCATTGATTTCAGTAGGAGATATTCAAACATAGCCAATAAGAACTTCCCCATACCTTTCTTTGAAACAGCACTTAATAGAAAAAGCAATACTACTCAAAAACTGAAAAATCAAAGAGTTTTATAATGATATATCCTAAAGGGTTCCCCACTCCGCATACGAAAATGGTTTAAACAAGAAACACTGGCTCATTTCAGTTGTAAGCATGTTAGAAACATAGAAACATAGAAAACACAGCAAGTCAGAAGGGGCCTCCCAGGCCATCTACTCTGACCTCCGGCACCAGCCGGCTCCACTCACAACATGCCCACCATGTGCACGTCCAGCCTATCCTTGAACACCTGCACCGATGGGGCCTCAACCACTTCCCTGGGAAGCCCCTTCCACACCCAGGGGTCCTGACTGTCAGGAAGTGCTTCCTGGCATCCAAATGGAACCTTGGCTCCCTGAGCTTTGCTCTGTTGGAGCGCGTTCTGCCTTCCTCTGCAGGGGAGAACAGGTCTCTACCCATCTCCATGTGACATCCCCTCACATACCTGTATGTCGCCAACATATCTCCTCTGAGTCTCCTCTTCTCCAGGCCGAAGAGACCCAGTTCCCTCAGTCTCACCTCATACGGCATCCCTTGCAAACCGGCCACCAACCTTGTGGCCCTATGCTGCACTGACTCTAACCTGATTTCTGTAATGAGGGGCCCAAAACTGAACACAATACTCCAGTTGTGGGCGCACTAGAGTCGTGTAGAGTGGTAGTAATACCTCTCTTGATCTAGAAGCCGCACTTCTGGCTATGCAACCAAGGGTGGCGTTCGTCCTCTTGACCACCGCATCACACTGCTGGCTCATGTTTAGCCAGCAGTCAACCTGTACACCAAGGTCCCTTTCACAAGTGCTGCTCTCCAGCCACTTGTCACCTAACCTGTACTTATGACAGGTATTCCTATGCCCCAAGTGCAAGACCTTGCACTTATCCACATTGAACGCCATCCTGTTGTGTCCTGCCCACTTCCATAGTCTGTCCAGATCCTTTTGGATCTGGAGTACCTGCTCCTCAGTTGTGGCCACTGCTCCAGTTTTAGTGTCATCTGCGAATTTGATCAGCAGACCGTTCACCCCTTCTTTCATGTCGTTAATGAAAAGATTAAACAGGATTGGCCCCAGGACAGAGCCCTGGAGGACCCCGCTTGTCACTGGCTGCCATCCCGATGATTCTCCGTTAATTGGTTACCTTCTGCTTTTGGTCAGTCAACCATGCCCTAATCCACCGGACAGTGCTTTGGTGTATCCCAAAACTCCTCAGTTTCTCCACCAGGATATCATGGGGCACTTTGTCAAAGGCCTTGCTGAAATCCAGGTATACCACATCCCCTGCATCCCCTCCATCTAGCCATCGCAAAACCTTGTCATAGAATTCCACAAGGTTTGTCTGGCAGGACCTGTTTTTGCGGAAGCCGTGTTGTGTGGCTGTCAGCTTCCCTTCCCTATCTAACATCACTAGATCTCTCTCTATTTTGAGCCTTTCCATTGTTTTTCCTACAATGGACATAAGGCTAACCGGTCTATAATTCCCCATGTCCTTTCTACTACCCTTTTTGAAAATTGGGACCTCTGATGCCACCCTCCAGTCCTCTGGAACTTCACCCGTTCTCCACGAGGTCTCAAAAATGGAGGCCAGCGGGCGTGAGAGAACCCCTGGCAACTCTCTAAGTACTCTCGGGTGTAACCCGTCAGGGCCTGGCGTCTTTGTAATGTCCAATGCCCTGAGGAGCCCCTCGACTTCAAGGGGAGTGACTCTAATCAGTGCCCCTAAGTCCCCAGCCTCATCTAATCTCCTATGCAAATATCCCCGTCCTGCTTTGGGGAGAACACAGAGGCAAAATAGTCATTTAGCATCTGTGCCTGTTCCCTCATATCAGTCACTGGATCTCCTTCCTCCTTATTTAGTGGTCCCACCACTTGTCTCCCCTTCCTCTTCCTATTTACATGCTGAAAGAAGCCCTTTTTGTTGCTCTTGATATTCTTGACAAGTCTCAGCTCGTAATCAGCCTTAGCCTTGCGAAGAATCCTTCTGCAACGGGCCTCCTCCCCCTGATATACCCTTTTGTCTATTTCCCCCAGTACCCATTTCCTACGGAGGTTCCTCCTTTCGCATCCATGGCGGCACTCTCCTCCGCCTCCCCACCTTACTGGCTAGAGGTATCGTCAAGGCTTGCACCTCCAAAACCTCCCTTTTGAGTGCTGTCCACCCCTCCTCAACTCGCTTACCTTCCAGTAATCTATCCCAGGAGACATTTCCCAGTCTGGCTTTCAGTTGGCCAAAGTTGGCCCTCTTGAAGTCCCAGCTTCTAGTGCTCATCCTGCTGTCCGTCCCCAGTCCCCTGATCTCAAAGCAAAGGATGGAGTGATCACTCGCATCCAGAGCTCCCCTAATCTGTACTTCATCTATCAGCTCCTCCCTATTGGTCAAGACCAAGTCAAGGATGTTTCCCCTCCTTGTTGCCTCTCGGACCGTCTGTGTGAAAAACGCTCCCTCAATAGCTTCAAGGAAATGATGTGACCTGGCTGTCACCGCTGAGTGAGTCTCCCAAGTAATATCCGGGAGACTGAAATCTCCCATAATTACTGTGTCTCTCTCCTGAGATATCCTTAGAATCTGGCCCATCAGGACATCATCCAGGGTCTCAAGTTGACCTGGAGGGCAATAACATACCCCCACTGTCAGGTCTCTTTCCCTGTCAAAACCCCTAAGTTTCACCCAGACTGCCTCTACCGAATACCCATCTGTGCTGCATTCAATCTCACTGCATCCTATCCCTTCCCTGACGTATAAAGCCACGCCCCCACCTCTCTTTCCCTTCCCGCCCTTTCTAAAAAGGTGATACCCTTCTATGTTCACATTCCAGACTTGCCTTTCATCCCACCAAGTTTCTGTGATTCCCACCGGATCATACCCTCCTATTCCCAGGAGAGCTTCAAGCTCTTCCTGCTTATTACCCATGCTCCTAGCATTGGTGTACATGTACCTGAACTCTTGCCCACCACTTCCTTTCCTTGGAGTTCCCAGCCTCCTCCTTCCTCCCATCCTCCCTAATACCTGGCCCCTCTCTGAATGAGTCCTGTCAGTCCCTGCAATATCTCTAAAACCCTGCTCCCAGAGCCCTGATCCTCCCCCCACACTTGTCCAGTGCAGACATGTTCCTGGGGGGGCCTGAACCCCCCTCCCCGCTTCCAAAGTCTTCCAAACGAAGCTCACTAGAACATCTCCAAAGGACCTTTCCCCATCCTCGTGAGGTTTAACCTGTCCCTTGCCAGAAGTCCATTGGCAAGAAAACGAGTGCCGTGGTCGAGGAACCCGAAGTGCTCCTTCTGGCACCACACCCTAAGCCAGTCGTTCACCTCGGAGGCCCTCCTGTCCCTTCCTGGCCCAAATCCCCAGACAGGTAAGATTGACAAGAAGGCCACTTGGGCCTTCAGCTTCCTGAGTTTCTTCCCCAAGGCCTCAAAGTCCCTGGTGGTCCCAACCACACCCTGCCTGGCCACATCGTTTGTGCCCACATGGATCACCAGGAGCAGCTGGTGACCCCCGGAGCGAACAAGATGCTCCAATCTGTCCATCACATGCCGGATGCATGCGCCCGGCAGGCAGCAAACTTCCCTTGTCTCCAGGTTGGGGCGGCACACCGCTGGCTCAGTGCACCTCAGCAGGGAGTCCCCAGCAACAATCACCCGCCGCCGTATTTTTCCGGTGCTGGTGGGCGGCCGTGCCCTGGCCCTCGCCTCTCCTGCAGTGGCCCCCTTGCCACCTGACATCTCAGGCTGGGGGTCCTGCTGGTTCCCTGAGGCCTCATCAGCCCCAGCCTCCCCAAGTGGAGAGAACCTGTTTCCCAGCTCCAGACTGGTGCCAGGAGAAGGAGGAGGCTGTGCTTGCCTCCTCCTCTGGTGGGTGACATACCTCCATGTCTCCGCAGCTGCTCCTCCTGTGGTCTCTCCCTTAACCCTCTGTCCAGGGGGGGGGGGCTGCTCCGGGGGGGCCGGGAGAGCTCTCTCGGCTCTCAGGCACCTCACCTCCTCCTCTAGCAGGGGCACCATCTTGCACCGAGGGCAAGTGTATCCCTGCCTCTCCTGGGGGAGA